TATATATATAAAAGAGGAAAACTCTTTTATTGCTGTTTGGAGGAGGACGTTAAGATCGCCCCTTCTTCATCGATTTTGTCGAAAATGTCGTAACATTGTCCACTGTCAAATCATCAGGCAGAAATTTATCAATGAGAGGGAGAGGTCCTCGAATCCTCCGAAGTTTTGGCAGGGATATTGGTATAAAAGCGCGTCTTCATAGGTACGATAGTATAATGAGACAACAACCGTAGTCAACATGTACGCTTTGGTAAGTCCCATAAAAAGTTGTATATGTTCGGTAATAATAATAATAATAATAATAATAATAATAATAATAATAATAATAATAATAATAATAGATTTAGTCGTGAGATAATATCTTAAATTCAAGAATGAACAACTAATTTTTCTCCTTTTATTTATTTATTTTTTTTTTAAATCGTTTCATCAATATTCATAAAAAAGAGAGATTTTATTTTAATTATTTTATCTAAAAACTAGTTTCACCACTATTTTTTCGAAATACCAATTTAAACGGCAAATTGTGGAATAATTAATTAATCGTATAAAAAAAAAAAAATAACCAATGTATTGATATTCGATGCAAAGCAAAATAATTTTACACCGATAAAATAAAAATCTTCCTTGGAATCTTATTATCCGATTAAATTTCGATAAACATTCTTTGTGGGTATTGTTGATAAATGATGAATAAAAAAAAATCATTTCAGCAAGTAACCATTTGCGCTATCATCGTGGCGGTGGCCGTTAGTGCGCCAGTAACAGAACAGGAAGTACCAATTCTTTATCACAGTTCAAACGGACCCGAACCAGACGGTTCTTATTCCTTCAGCTTTGAAACAGGAAATGGTATTCGCGTTAACGAAAAAGGAGAACCAAGGAAGAGTGTACAACAGAATCCTGAAAATGAATATCCACTTTACGTCCAAGGATCATACCAATATCCATCATCGGATGGTTCAGAAATCTCATTGACTTACGTTGCTGATGAAAATGGATTCCAACCTCAAGGAGACCATTTACCAACTGCTCCACCAATACCGCAATCGATCTTAAGATCTCTCGATTATATCGCTACTCACCCTCAGGAAGATAATTTGAGAAAGTGAATTTCTATTATGGCTGCCATTAACGAACTGACATTGATAATAACCATGACGAGATTATTTTCGTACGACGAACAACAACTCTAATCGCGAAAAAATGTGATCAGCAGTTTTATGTTTTTTTTTTAATTCTCTTTTTGTTTTTCATTTTTATTATTTTATTTATAAGTTATAATAACCATGATTTCATACTACAAAGACAACAACAACAACAAACGACAACCGAGACGAAACAATTTACTACGAAGTATGGATTAGTTTGAAAGTAGTATTTTTTTCTCCTATTTTTTTATATTATCTTCTTTTTTTTATTTAATTATGAAAGATTTATCATCAACGAGACGAGAATCGTTCGTTGGGATTTGTAACAGTGTAAATTATTCCATTGAAAATCTTGGTCTATTCTCTCGTATTCGTGTACTCTACTATTATTATTATTATTATCTTATAATAATCGTTGATTTGTTTGTTAATTCAATTTTCAATATTATACCGCAAACATACTCGAAATGTGATTTTATTCGAGATCAAAATAATGTTATTTAGGTATAACATGTATGTATATTACAGATACATAAAATACGAAGGCTGCTAAGTAATACAAGTCATAATATTATTTGTATACTTCTATAATACTACCACCATTACTACTACTGCCACCAACTCGATATTTTTGTTTAAATTATAAGGATAAAAAAAATATATATTTTTAATTGAAGTAAAGTACACTACGTTATAATTATCATATATAGTAACGTTTATATTAAACGTTTAAGTACGAGGGAATTATAATTATACATACCGTGATATAATAAATATTATTAATATTTGAAAAATTATTTTTATCCATTTACTTTTTATCCTTATAAAAAAAAAAAGAAATAAAAATTATTCTTTTCATTTAAGACATTGAACGGTTTATTTGTCAACTCTATACCAAAATTCTTTAAAGTTGTTGGAAAGATTAATGTTGCGTGTAACAACTCAAAGAAGTATAAAGATAAGAATGAAAGATTACAGATACATATCCGAGATAAGTTACTTTAATTATCTGAAACACGAAATGTTCTCATGTAGGCAAAACTTCGAGGACAAAAACACTATAAGTTGTCGCGTGTTTCTCCTGTAGGTGGACTTTGTGAACACATCCTAGCTCATACATAACTATACATATGTATGTATGCATTATACATACATTGAGAATCAATTTCATGGCAGTAGGTGAAGATTCACCTATCTTCTATCTCTCATTAAACAAGAATAATACTAGAATGTTAAATGATTTTGAGATTTAGAATCAGATTAGGTATCGGTGTACAAGATTAACGTAATCTTTGTGCAAAAAAAAAACGAAATTATTATTTTCAGAATAATCCAATATTAAGGTGAACCAAAAGTTCGTGAGTTTATTATGGTGTTTTAGATATTGCAATTTTTTGAAGTCCAATAAAATTACTTTATACCCAAATGAAATATTAATAAAAAAATGCACAAATTTTTGGTTCACTCTAATACTTTCTCAATTAATTACTGTGTTTCAATTTATATGTTGTTTTTGTTTTTTATAACAAAAGTTTATTGAAAATAAAATTGTCTACAAATGGATTATTAACTATCAATGTAAACACAATGCATCGATGATTTCTAAACAATCGAGAACACGTAATAAAAAAAATAGGAAAAAGAAGAAAAAAAAGAAGAAGGAAGAGTTAAGATAATTTAACAAAGCGATCTTATGCGGTTATGTTAGTGATAGTTATCTATACGAAGAAGATACAAAACGATACGGTAGATGCGTAATTAAACGATGCTAGGAAGAGCTATTATAAAGTACTCTCGCGCGCGCGCGCGCGGCTTCGAGTTAAAGCCTTGAAATTAATGTATTCTTACGAAGATGTTTTCCATGTTTAACGTATTATCCGCGGTCAGAAAGGATTATATCACTAGTTTCTGTAAAACTCGATTCTCTTCGACGAGTATACGAGATTATGGACTATTTCGTAAGTTTTACTTTGATTATCTATCGAATGGAAAGAGAATTAACAAAATGAAAATAATAAAAAAATACATTCGTATTAGCTAACGGAGTAATCGTACGGAATTTAGGAATATAAAAAAAGTTATTCGTAATTTTATCTATTTAGAGATAGAAAATACTAGTGAGTGATTTCAAAATTTAGAAAAAAAAATATATTTTTTGTATATTTGTTTCAATATATATATATATGTATACAAAATATTAGCAAGTTTTCTTTAAATAAATTTATAAATAAAATCAAATACTCTGCGATACGATATTTATTTAGATGTAAAATATTGAAAAAATTATATAATAAAATTTTGGTATAACTTGTTTTTATTTGCGTATAAAAACTGTGTTATTATTTATCGAACGATCCAATCAACGGACTTTTTTTTGTTCCTTTTAATGAAAGAGACACTCCTGTTTTATTATCTATTTTACATGATAACAAAAACATCGAACAAGGATAAGATCTTTCAGATCTCATTTCTTGTTAACTCTACTTGTTCTCAACTTCGTTCGAGAAGGATTCTAACTAGAAACGTCTTTGTAACAGATCATAGATCACGTACCGTTAATTCGAAAAGCGTCTTCTTAACGAACGAACGAAGTAGTATAATAGTTTCGCACCCACATAAGTTATCTCTGCCTCATTTCTTGTTGATATGTCACACGAGTAAGATAAATAGAGAGAATCAGCATATTTCTTTTTACCAATGTAATTTCACTTTCAAATCAAATTAGAAATTGTCTTTAAAAATGTATGTTCAAACAAGATTTCGAATATAAATACACCTTTTATTTATTTAGGTATAAAATATTAAGTAATCGCAAATTAAAAAAAAAAAAACTAGTATACCTCTTAGAAATTATTTTTGTCGAGAGGAGAGAAATTTTGTGTTCCATTTAATTAGTAAAAATTTGTGTTGAAAGTCATCGTCATGGTGAGAAAATAAAAAAGAATTTCTAAATTGATTGGTTATCATTAAATTGAATTATTTTTTTAATATCGTCATGATTTTTAGAGATTAAATATTCATTTGTGTGTATATATGTGTATGTATGGAGAAAGAGAGATAGAAAAAAAACAATATACGTTCCTATCACAATCATGAAAATAAATGTACGTTTTTGTTTTCAGTAGTTTCACTGTTGCTACTCACGAAGGATTTGAAAGAGTTAACAAAAAAAGAAAGAAAAAAAATGTATGCAATCATCGATTTGATCATACACATCTTTTTGTTCCAGAATTTTATACCGGAGGTCGCGATCATTGGTTTTACGAAGTATCAAAGGTCGTATACTATTTTTCAATGGTCTAGGCAATAGGAATAGGTAGGAGTTAGCGAAGCATTGCATCTAATTGCAAGCTATCTTCGGCTGTTATTCGCTACGGTCCTTTCATCTCTCTTCTATTCTATAGGGTATCCATTATATTCATCTCATTCCGATACTATTCTACTGTTGCAAAAGGAGAAAGTCCTCCTTTACTCCGTTTTTATTCTTTACGACCTCTATACTCGATGATTCTTCCTTGTCACGACGCTTCTGTACACACACACACACACACATATATACTTTATTCTTTCTCTCTTTCACTCATTCACCCACTCTTTTCATCCTCCTTATAATATTTTATCTATTTTTATGTTATATTGGGTTGAGGATAAAGTTTCTTCTTCTTAATGCAAAATTTAAACAATTTTTTCTGTTTCTGTTTTCGTATCTTGTAACCTGTCTTTTTCAAACGATTGAAAAACTGTTTCGTGGTTAGTTATGGTTGTTTAATTGTTTCCATAATTTCATCGATTTTTCCAACACTGATTGGTCGACCGAAACGAGGTGCAATGTTGAAATTCAAATTTTCAAAATGAAAATTCTCAAACAAGTTTTGATGTAGCAATTACTGATACCCCATCATGTTCATAGACATAATAAATCTGTGTCACAAGTATGAGTCGCATTCTTTCCTTTCTTTTTCAATAAAATATCAATATGTATATTTGAACAACATTTTCTTTATTTCCAATCATTATTTCGAACTAAAATTGTAACTTCTTGTTTTTTCAATTATTCTATTATACGTCAAATTTCAAACGCACGTCAATTTATCGGCAAATGTGATTAATTTTATCAGAGTTATTTATGCTAATATCATTTATCGGCAAAATACGAATAAATTTTGTCCCAGATTTTAATATTTATTTAGTTCCACCTCTTTCTTCCCTTTTTTTCGTCCTTTTTTTTCTTTTCGATAGCATAACATGACACATAACACGTATATAACGGTGTACTATGTAGTAAATAATACAACGCCCAGAAGAAAAAGAAAAAGAAGAAGCAAAAGTAGTATTGGTGTAGACCAACTTCATAATACGCCTCCGTATGTGTGTCAAGAGTGGTTAAATGTCTTTCTTTTTCTTGTTTGTTTGTTTTTTTTATTTTTTTTTTTTTTTTTTAATTTCTTTCTTTCACTTATACTCGTAGGAAGAAGATACCTGAGCTGTTCGAAAAGTTTTATAAGGTAGGTTGGTAGATAGGTAGGTAGATAAATAAAAGTACTTCTTCGTATTCGAAAGGAATATCGGACATTGATCCGATCGATAACTCCCACGAGAAGGTCGAACGTGTTCTTCTTCTTTTCTCTTGTTTTGTGATAACTCGTTGTCCTTCGTTAAATTCACTTACATATAGGTAACATATCTTAAACTGATTTAATTAGAAGAATAAGAGTATTTTAAATTTTCATATTATTTTCTTCTCGGTATTTAAGATTAAGAATAAAGAAATAGATAGATAGATAGATAAATAGATAGATAGATAAATAGATATATATATAGTATATATTTATATAGAGAGAGAGATAGCAATAGAATTTATATATGCGACTATATATATATAATATAATATAATATACTTATTATAGGATAATACAACACAATATAATCTATAATATAATATAATATAATGTAATATATTATAATATAATATAATGTGATATAATATAATTTAATGCAACATAATAAACTATAGTATATTAATAAAAAAAGCGAGAGAGAAGAGTAGGATAACGTTAAAGAAGAGAGAAGCGAGAAAGAGTGAAAGTATCGACAAAATGAAATGCCACGAGAACGTCTTTCTCTCTCTCTCTCTCTCTTTCTTATTTACCTTACCACCTTCTTCTAAGGAGATAGAAAGAGAGAGAGAGAGAGAAAGAGAGACAGAGAGATGATGATGCGTGTACAAAATGTAAAATAAAGTCTCTAAACTAAAAATAAATATAACGGTATCTACTCAACTAAGTTGTCTTAGAATGGCAATGGTTGTGCATACTTATTTCAAGTAAATCATAAACCGGTAGAAGACAGTAGTACACAAGAAGAAGAAGAAGAAGAATAAGATACCGATAGAAGACGACCTTGACATATAAGTACATATGCATATATATACAGACAAACACATTCTAAGAGAGCGCCTTACCCACAGGCAAGAAGACGCAACCTATGCCGAATTCAATTTTACTTTCATCTTACGGTACCCGTTCGGTAGGTAACAAAACAGGTGCTTCTTCTACTTCTTAACATTCAAATGTATTCGTACTCTTATTTTTAATTCATCTTCTTCTTCTTCTTCGTATTATCTTTATACGTTTTCAAGGTTTTATTTCTTTTTTAATACTTCTTTATCTAAAATGAAGAAAATATATTATGGAGATATCGTTAAGACTCTACGACATTTTTCAAAACTTTATACTAATGATCTTAGGCGACCTCGAGAAGGATCAGAACTCTTCCGGTATGCGTTTGTTTCTCTGCTTTTTT